CTGATAACCACAATTAAAATGGCCAAGAGCAAAAGAAGATACAGAGGCACAATGAATATTACTGAAGACTCCCCTGCAAAGGAGCAAAACCCTTTGCCAAACTCAGAGTTTACTGAGGAAAACATCGAGAAAATGAGGGATACAAAATTCAAAAACACTTGTTATAAAGCTTGTTATCAACAATGAGAAGCACATAAAACAGGCATTCAAGGAATTCAAGAAGTATGTCACACTGGAAATGATTCAAATGGAAGCTGATATATCAGAAATGAAGAACACAGTGGAGCAAATTAAAAGGACAGTGGAGCATCTCCAAAATAGAATAAAGAGGCAGAAGAAGGAATCTCAAAATTAAATGATATTTCCTGTCACCAGGGGGAAACAAACAAAAAGCTGGAAGCAGAGCTGCATCAGGCCAAAAAAAATTCAAGAATTGAAAAACACTATTAAAATGCCAAATGTAAGAGTTATGGGAGTCCCAGAATGTGCAGAAAGAGAAGCTGGGTTTACAAATGTATTTAATGAAATCATAAGGGAAAATTTCCCTAATCTAGGGAAAGAATTGGGAAACAGCATCCAGCAGGGGCAAAGAACTCCCAGTAGGGCTGACCAAAAGCGATCTTCACCACGACACACAATAATCAAGCTCTCTTCAATCGAACATAAGGAAAAGATCCTTAAATGGGCACGTGAAAAAAAAAATCAATTGACAATGAAACTCAAGGAGACCTCTCACAGGAAACTCTACAGGCAAGAAGAGAAGGGAGCAAAATATTCCAGATTCTAAAAAATTGTCGGCCCAGATTAATGTACCCAACAAAATTTTTTTTTGTCTTTGAAAATGAAATTAAATTCTCCCTAGTAAAGTAAAAAGAATATGCCTCTTCCAAACATGCTCTACAAATGATACTTAAAGATGTTCTCTTGACAGAGAAGAGGAATAGCATCCACCAAAACCAAAGGCAAATGTGAAGAACATCCTAGGAAAATAACAACAGAAGACTACTCCAATGAACAACCCTTTGCTAAAATGACAGGACCAAACTACCACCCATTCATATTAATCCTGAATATAAATGGCTTAAACTCATCAATCAAACGTCATAGATTAGTAGACTGGGTTAAAAAACAAAATCATCTTTGTTGCCTACAGAAGACATATTTCCACAACAAAGATCAACAGAAAATATATATCATGGATTTTGATTTTTTGTTAGTTTCATCTCCTTCTTTTCTTTGTTAGTTTCAAAACTCTTTCTTCTGATTAAATTCTTCAATGACTCATAGATCATGCAGTAGCATCATTTTCTTCAAGAAGGTTCTTGGTTTCTTTTTCATTTCTTCAGTGACACATTAGTCATTCAGTAGCATGTTATTTAACTTCATGGTGTTGTTAATTTCTTTGGTTTTTTTCTTCCTGTTGTTGATTTTGTTTTGGCTTTTCTTTTAACGGGATGTATAGTAATTATGTAATGGAGACTATGATATCTAGCAGCATGTAATTTAACGTCATGGCATTGTAAATTTCTATTTTTCTTCCTGCTAATGATTTTCTATTGTGGCTTTTCATTTAAGAGGATGTACAGTAAATGTGTAATGGAGACTAAAATATTATCATATCTAGTAACATGTTATTTAACTTCATGGTGTTTTAGATATCTATTTTTTTTCTTTTTGTTGATTTTGTATTGTGGTTTCTCATTTAAGAGGATGTATAATAACTGTGTAATGGAGACTATCATATCCAAATGTGAGGATACAATGTAGTATGCTATCTCCACTTCCAGACTAAGATGGACTCCCAACGAAACTGTTTACTATATCTTCATAATAGGATGCTGGCCTCTCTCCCATTGTCCATGCCCACAATGTCGGACATATGACTGTGTATGAAGTACTATACTGCATTAATGATATAGGGATTTGGGGAGGGGATTAGTGAAATCCCTGGGCCTATGGAACTGCTTCATGATAATAATAAAAAGAAGTCACATTAATTAAAAATGCTTAATTCATGCATAGATTTTTTATGCAAAATATATTTTCTATGAACTTTCAAAGATTCTGCATATGTATGGGTGTCAAAATTATTTTGCAGCAAAGTAAATGTATCTTTTAGTTCCATTTGTCATTAAATTTCTGAGATATTCTCATATCTTACCTCTAATAAATTAAAATTGTAAAGCTCAAAAAAGAAAAAATCCTTCCAATTGTGTGACTTAGGTAGGTCTTCCTGTGGCTGCATCTGAAAACACTGTGTCTCCCAGCACAGCCTTGTGGTGGCCCCCAAAGTCCTTCCCCTTTTCATCCATGATAAGTGGATTTTCACTGTGTGTGACACTGTGCAGAATGAAAACCACATCACCTCCCTCCCCAGCAACCAGGTGAGACCAAGTGCAGAGGAGGCGGGTGCAGACCCCAGGCTGGGTGGTCATTGATGAAGCCTAACCCACCTCACCTGTCTGTAGTGTGGCTGCTACACCGCAGCCACACTGGGCTGAGTTCCTCTGCTAGAGCTGCTTTCAAGGGCCTCATTCACACAGCAGTCCTGAGAGCAGCAGTTCTGGAGGCTAGAAGTCCAGTGTCCAGGTGTCAACAGGTGGTTTCCTCTGAGGACCAGGAGGGATCTATCCAGGCCCCTCCTTGGCTTGTAGGATCCACTCTCCTACACTGTCTCCCCATGCCCCCATTCCCCTATCTACAAAGACCTCCGTTCTACACTCCCTTCACCAGCCACAACCCTCCTTCTACTGCCAACCAGAACTCCTAAGCCCTCACCTGAACCTCCACCCCCAGTGGAAGCAGTTTGCTTTGCTTCAGGCTGAGGACACAGTACATCTTACCCTGATCGTCCCTGGCAATTCCTTCTTCTCAGGAAGGGTGTGAATGGGGGTTTATGCCTTTTTCACAAAAAGTATTTATTTAAGTCAAACTTGCAGAAAGGGAAGGACAGAGCAATGAGGATTTCAATCTGTTGATTTACTCTCCAGATAGCAACAAAGCACAGTGCTGGTCAGGACAAAGCCAACAGATTCCTCTCACCTCCCAAACACCTGGGAGATTTTCAATCTGTTGATTTACTCTCCAGATAGCAACAAAGCACAGTGCTGGTCAGGACAAAGCCAACAGATTCCTCTCACCTCCCAAACACCTGGGCCATCCTCTGACGCTCCTCCAGCTCATCCTGGGGAACTGGAGCAGAAATGGAGCAGCTGTGGCACAAACAGGCACACTTGAGATGCAGCCATTGCAGGCAACAGTAAACTAGCTCTTATAAAACACTGCCTCCTCCCAGGGATTCTCTTAAGGATTTGGCTCCCACTGCTCCTGCACAAGATATTCCTAGAAGCAGCCAGGTTTTGGTGCAACAGGCTCACATGACATCAGCTTGCATGTCACAAAAATCCAGACCAAAGCTTCAACCTCCAACAGCAGCAGCACATCTCTCCCGTGTCCTGGATGCGAGTCAAACATCCTCCAGAGCCTGTGTGTATGAGGCCTCTGTTTTCCTTTGTATATAGTGTTGCTAATGATCCAGAGAAAGTACATCCTAACATTTTGGTTGTCTTAATTTTTTAATATTTATTTATTTATTATTGGAAAGGCAGATTTACAGATAGAAGGAGAGACAAAGCTCTTCTGTCTGCTGGTGTACTCCCCAAGTGGGCATGACAGGGAGAGCTGAGCTCATGTGAAACCAGGAGTCAAGAACTTCTTCCAGATCTTCCATGAGTGCAGAGTTTCAAAGGTTTGGGGGATCCTCCCCTGTATTCACAGGCCACAAGCAAGGAGCTGGAAGGGAAGTGGAACAGACAGGACATGAACCATTGCTCATATGGGATTTAGCCACTGAGCCATCTCACTGGTCCCTGTCTTAAATTCTTTAAAATTGTAAGAGTGGGTGTCTAGATTTGTGGATAAAGCCTTCAAAATGTTTGGTTATGAATCTCAGCTCCTATTCCTGCTTGCAGATGCCAGAGAGTGCACGCCTGGAAGGCTGTGTCATTGGCTTCACTCATTTTGTTTCTACCACCTATGCGGGGGACCTGCATTGAGCTCTTGGTTCCTAGTTCCATCCTCAATCAGGTTGGGAAGCAAACGGATGGATGGAATGGATCTCTCTGTTGTCTGTTTCTGTGTGTGTGTGTGTGTGTGTGTGTGTGTGTGTGTGTGTGTGTGTGTGTGTGTGTGTGTGTTTTCATTTCTCTCTCCCGCTCTGTGTATTTCACTTTCACTTCTTCTTAAATTAGAAAAGCACATATGTGTGAACTTTTGGCACGACAGTTAGGACACCACTTGGGACTCCTGCATCCCATATCTAAGTGCCTGGGTTGGAGTCCCAGCTTGCAGCTGATTCCAGCATCCTGCTGATACACATTCTGGAAGCAGCAGGTGATGGAATCAACACTTGGGTTCCTTCCTCACACCTGGAGACCCAGATGAAGCTCCAGCCCTCAGACCTCTGCTGCTGCAGGTATTTGGGGAGTAAATCAGTATACAGGAGATTTTTGTTTCAATCAATCTCTGGCTACCTCTCTTCCAGTCCGCTAAACCAATTTCTCTATTTAGGTGGATACAAATCTTGATCCCATATTAGAGATGGTAAAACTGAAACTCAAAGAAGTGAAGCTGTGACCCCAGAGAGTCAGAGCTAAGAGGCAGAACATGCAACATGTGGAATCAGATATGAGGGGTTCCAGCACCTGTGACCCTTCCTGAGGTAAGTGGCAGGTTCTGATGCCAACTTTCTATCCTGCTCCTCTGTTATCACTTGGCCACCTGGTGCCACCTATGCAGCCACACAGTGAATTAGCCCTGAGTTCTTCCTTTGGCTCTCAGTCCTCCATGTGCAGCTGGTGGGGACTGTGGCCTTGGACCATGGGAGATCTGGTGCTCCACCACCTGTTCTGGAGTGGGGCCCAGTCCAGCCCCCTCACCTATCTGTGCCCTATATTAGAGGCCAGGTTCCGTTTCTCCTTCCCTTCTTCTCCAGATACACAATGATCCGGCTGCTGAGCTCCCTCCTCCTTGTGGCCCTGGGTAAGCCCCCATCCTGAGTCTGTGTTCCCTGTGCTGCCCTGGCAAAGCCCATCTGTGGCCCTCTAGGACTGGCACACAGCCCCATTTTCCTGTTGGGGATCCTCTGATTGATTGATGCCTCTCCTGTCCTCTCCAGCCTCAGGCTTGGACCAGCCTTCCTTCAACCCCTCCAGCCGCGTGGTCAATGGTGAGGATGCAGAGCCCTACAGCTGGCCTTGGCAGGTGAGAGCAACACCAGTGCACTGACTCTCAGCATGGCCTCTGGACACCAAGTACTGATTGCAAGGCCTACAGCCTTGATCCAACAATATAGGAATCAAGACAATGGGTAGAGGCTGAGCTGGGAACTCAGTTCCAGGTCCTTGAGTCCCACAGCAGGGTTCTGAGGTCTGGAGCACAGAGAGTGGAGAGTTGGATCAGGGCAGTGGAGGGCAGCACTGAGGGTGAGGCTTGCTGTGGAGTGAAGCATAGTGGCCATTAACCACATAGGGTTTCAATTGTGAATTTAAATATTCAATCATGTCCAAAGATTCTAGAGCCACATGCGGCCGGCCATTGGTTCCCACCTTGGACAGCAGACAGAGAACATGTCCATAACCCAGAACATTCCCAGGACAGTCAGCCAGTGTATTCTGGGAGGGAGCAGAGAGTGAGTGCTGCAGCCCTGTCAGCCACATGGCTTCTCCAGCAGTGACTTAGCCCTGCCATTGCAGCAGGAAAGCAGCCAGAGAGCATGCGTGCCTGAGTGAGCAGCCTGTGTGCAGTCAGCATCTGTGTGCACAGACCACAGCCAGCCTGGGGCCATAGTCCATGTTCTACAAATCTTGACACGGGGAAATACTGAGAATCTGAATGAGTAGGAAACCACAAGAGAAGAAAACGAGTCAGGGTGAGCTGTGCTTCAGAAGCTCCGGGAAGTCTGGAAGAGCTGAGGTGTAGGAGAATGGGACCTGGGAGAGCAGAGGATCTTAGCAGCTGTCAGAGGACAGAAGGTTTGGAGATTCCCTCTGTGCAGAGAATGTTGAGGTGCTCAGGGAAGAGACTGAGCATCCCAGTGATCCCTGGGGAAAAGGATAGGACCTCCATGAGCAGGTGTGACTCTGAAAGGGCTGCTCTTCTCTGTGAACACACTGCACAACCTACAGTTGTGTCCTAAACCTCTCAGAATCATCCTTCCTGGGTCTCCAGGCTCTCTTGGAATATAAGGCGAGTGGAGGCTGGTCCTTCATCTGTGGAGGGACCCTCATCGGTCGTTCCTGGGTTATGACTGCTGCCCACTGTGTCGTGTGAGTTCCCCTTCTGCCCCACCCCTGCCCTGTCCTTTATCACATGTGAGACCCAGGCAACTCAAGCCATGGGGTGGTTATAGAGGCTTGGCAGTTAAGCCCAGGCTGATCTTCCCTGCCATGGCAGGAGCGGCGGGACGTACCGCGTCGTGTTGGGAGAGTACGACAACTCAGTGACAGAAGGACCCGAGCAGACCATCATTGTGGAAAAGGCCATCGTGCACCCAAATTATAACAACAATAATGTGGCCAAAGGGTGAGTGAGCTCCCAGCTGGACCGGGCTCCTGTGTTCTTCCCTCCATGACCATAGCTCATCTAGTCCCTCACCTGTGTCTGGGTGGCTCAGCATTTTCTGGTGAGATCACAGCCAAGAGCAGAAACCTTACAAACCCAATGCAGGACTTAGAGACTATTGTCATGGAAACCACAGTGCACCCCCTCAGGGAGTCTATGGCCATAGGAAGTGAACGCAAGAGAAATGTCCAGAGTGACACCAGGCACAGCAGTGGTCTCCATGGTGTGGTCTGTGGGACACAAGCACCAGCTTAACCTGGGAACTGTGGAAGTAATGTCAGACCTCAGGCCTCAGCCAGACACAGAAACAGAGCCTGGGATTGGGTCCCAGAATAATGGCTGCCTTCTTAAACATTTATTCATTAATTTTTATTTATTTGAAAATCAGAGAGAGAAAGAAATGTTCCATCTACTGACTCCAATCCAAATGCCTGCATGATTTACAGCCGCACCAGATGAGAGCCAGCAAGCTGGAAATCAGCCAGGATGTGCAAGCAGAGTTCAGACAACAGAGCCTCCAGCTGCTTCTGCAGGTGCACATGAAGAAGAAGCTGGAATGGAGCAGCTGAGACTGGCACCTGGCACTGTGATGGGGGATGCAGCCACTACCAACTGTGCCACCTGTCCCCTAATAACTGTGTGTCAGCCCTAGAGGGTGAAATCATGAGTGACACAGGGACATTAGAGACACCAGGGACAGTACCATGAGAGGTACCAAGGACAGTTAAAGGCCAAGGGCTGAGGGCTTCTGGAAGCTACTGAAATATAACAGTAGAAGAAAGTTGCAGGGGTTTCCAGGCCACCAGGCTATACATAACTGTAAAAGGTTTTTTTTTATTTATTATTAAAAGGCAGAGTAATGGGGTGATAAGGAGAAAAAGACTCCATCCACTGGTTCAGTTCCCAAATTGTCGCAGTGGCCAGAGCTGTGCCAGTCTAAAACCAGAAGATTCTTCCAGGTCTCCCCCATCGGGGCAGGAGCCCAAGCACATGGGCCGTCCTCCACTGCTTTCCAGGTCATAAGCAGGAGGCTGAATCAGAAGTGGAGCAGCTAGAAGTTGCACCATTACCCACATGTGATGCCAACACCACAAGCAATGGATTAGCCTCAAATTCCACAATGCCACGTTTCCAACTGACCCCTCTGTCCCCACAGCTATGACATCGCCCTCCTCAAGCTGACTGAATGTGCCGAGCTGACGGATGAGGTCCAGCTTGCATGCCTCCCTCCTGCTGATTACATCCCGCCCCATGAGATGAAATGCTACGTCACTGGCTGGGGCCGGCTCTCCAGTACGTGTTGACCAGGGACCATGGCAGAAAGACAGGGCCTGGGGGGCAGGGACCCATATTACTTCAGGTCTGGTAAGGGACTTTTCCCTTCTCCAGGCTCACAAACAGTGTGCACAACTGAGCATCCTGGGGAGTCTTCCATGTGCTAGATCAGGGATATAGACACACACAGAACATGAGGATGGTGTAACTGGGAAACCCCTCAGGTCAGGAGATCATGGGCCACCATGGCCCTCCCTGGGCTTTTACCCTGCCCTCTAGGCCCTCATTTTTCTCTGTCTCTGCAGCTGGTGGAAAACTGCCAAACAAACTGCAGCAGGGGCTGCTGCCCGTGGTGGACTACGAACACTGCTCCCAGCGAGACTGGTGGGGCTCCACCGTGAAAGAGACCATGGTGTGCGCCGGTGGGGACACGGTCTCTAGCTGCAATGTAAGTCAACTCATTCTTCAAGGGGAGCAGGGTCCTGCTGTACCTCTGTTATTCATGTAGATGGAGTACAGAGGTCTTCTCTGCTGTCCACAGTCAGGCCCAGGCCAGGCAGCACCTGGAGGAAGTCAGCTCAGCCCACACACCCTGACTCCTGGCCCACCTCACAGGACCCCTCGCCTGGGACCATCACTGTCCCTCCTCCTGCTCAGGCTTCCCCAGCAGCACAGCAGGGACACTCACACCACCACCTTGAGTCACCCACTCTGGGCTCTGCAGGGATCCTCAACCACTGTACTGAGGCAGCTGAGTCCTCCTAGGCAGCAGGGAAGGTGCTGCCAGCAGGGGGCGCTGGCGTCTCACGGGGCTCCCTCTGTGCCAGGGGCTGTGCTGAGGTCCTGTGTGGGTCCCTTCCTGCTCAGCAGCTGTGGTAGCACAGACCCTGGTCCTGGCCAGCTGAGGCCCTGAGGCTGGGAGAGGTGCAGCAGTGTGGGTGTGTCTGCAACCCCCAGGTCAGGGACAATTCCTTCCAGCTGAGATGTGGCTCTTCCCCACCCCTCTGGCCATCATAGGGTGACTCTGGAGGACCCCTCAACTGCCCTGGAGTGAACTGTGAGTGGCAGGTTGACGGCATAGTCAGCTTTGGTTCTGCCCTTGGCTGCAACTACCCGAAAAAGCCTTCAGTGTTCACCCGTGTGTCAGCCTACATTCCCTGGATTGAGGAGGTGAGAACTGAGCAGATGGGAGAGCTCCAGCTTGGGGGTTCTCCAGAAAGGGGCTGGGGGACTTGGGGCAGGGATCCATCCTAGAAGGGCAGTGGGGGTCGTCCTGGGGGACATTCCCGAGCGGCCTGCGGCCTGTGGATGTGCTCTGCTCTGTGTGGCTCCAGAACTACACAGGCTTTGGGTGGAGCTTGCACTTCCATATTCAGAGAGGGTTTCTCAGTGTGTCTTCTGCTCGGTTCCTTACTTCTCCTAGAGGACAGAGGGTCATGTGGCTGTCTGGTGGGGGAGATGTGAAATGAGTAATTATGGTGAGGGATGGTGAGGACTATGGTGGGGGAAGCTGAGGGCTCAAGCATCTCCCAGATACGTGTGGTCAGAGGGTTACTGTTGTGCATGACAGTGTCAGTAACCAGCACTTTGAGGTCATGTAAATGTGCTCCAGGGATAGTGATGGAGCCTTGGTTAGTGGTTTAATCCGGAATCCCACTAGGTCAGTACTGTGATTATCACTCCCACTAGAGGAGGACACTGAGCTCAGAGAGGCAGGTCACTCTCCCGGCTCACACAGGGAAGGAGTGGTCAGGCCGGGACTGACCCTAGTTCCCCTGACTGCAGAATCCATGACGCTAACCAGGACGTTCTGTCCCTCCCTGTTTATTTCCAGAATATTGAGAACAACCCATGCTCATGCTGATCCTACATGTTTATAAAGAATAAAGATCTCTCAGCAAGTCCGGAGTTGGGTCTCTTTCCTCCATTGCCTCTTCCCCTCTGGCCTGTTCCTGAGATCTGAGAGCTGATGTACAGGGATGAGACCAGAGTCAGCCTCTCATGTGAGGACAGAATATTCTGGTTCCAAGACAGAGGGAGTCATGATGGAGTGACCACCCTCTTGGATTTCCTGGGACTGTGGGTTCTCAGTCCCAGGACTTTCAGTGTGGAAAATGAGGCAGTCCCAGCACAACCTGGACAAACAGGTCCCCCAAGATAGAGTGAATCCATGCAGCACAGCACTCAGTGACACCTGCAGAGAATCTGAGCCTGTTCTCTCTCGGGAGGCTCGTGATGGAGTGAAAGGACCAGGGCTTTCTGCCTCCTCTGCCTGGCAGGAGGAGGAGGGCTGTGGTCATTCATTCACTCAGTATCATTAATTCCTCATTTCAGAGGAGGGCTCTGAGAGGGACAGATGGCTCCTGATCTGAAGTGGTTCATTATTTTCAGAGAAATGCATTTGTTGGTGTTGGGTGCATCAGGTGAAGCCTCTGCCTGCAGTGCCTGCATCCCATATAGGCACTAGTTCAAGTCCCCACTCCTCTGCTTCTGAACCAACTCCCTGCAGATGGCCTGGGGAAAAAGTAGAGGATGGCCCAAGTCCTGGGCACCTGCTCTTGCTTGGGAGACCTGGAAGAATTTCCTGGCTCCTGGCTTCAGATCAGCCCTGCTGTGCTGTGGTGGCCATGTAGAAGTCCTAAATGGAAGATCATTTCTCTGCCTCTCCTTCTCTCTCTGTAACTCTGCCTTTCACATAAAATAAATATATTAAAAACAAAAACAAGAGGAATGTGCACAGCAGAGGAGTTCACAAACACTGGCTGGCCACCTGCCCATGGCAGCCTTGGCTGGGAGTCCAGAGTGGACCCAGAGTGAGGAGAAACACACAGGGACAGGGGCACGGGCAGTGCTGCACACCAGCCAGAGCCTAGCTGGAGTGGAGGTCAGAAGCCCCGCTGCTGTGTCAGCAGATGAAAGGCCAACATAGCCCAATGCCTGACGCTCCTGGTTCCTCTGAACAACACGAAAGGATACAGCCCAGCGGGGTCTCACATCCATCACCATCATTATCAGTGAGTTCCAGTGTTCTATTTGTTTGTTTGTTTATTGGTACTCTTTCTCTTAGACTTGGCACTGGTACACAGTAGTTAAGCTGGTGCTGGTTTGGCTAATCAGAGTGTGGTGTGCCCTGGCTGCTCTGCTTCCCATGCAGCTTTCTGATAATTAACCTGGGAAAGCAGCAAAAGATGGTCCAGCAACTTGGACCCCTGACACACACATGGAAGATCCAAATGGCATTCCAGGTCCCAGGCTGTAGCCTGGCCCAGCCCAAGTAATAGGGTCATTTGATGCCGGATTTCTCTCTCTCTCTCTCTCTCTCTCTCTCTCTCTCTCTCTCTCTCTCTCCTCTCTGTTTCAAATAAGTAAGTGTAGGACAATAAATTACACACACACACACACACACACACAGATGCACACACTTTCAAAGGAGCAGGTGTATAGCGTAGGGAACAACAGCTCATACCTGACATAAAGGTACCTGGCTGATTCCTGGCTCTGGTTCTTAACACCTGCCTTCTGCTAATCCAGGACCTTGGAGAGGGTGATGGTGGCTCAGGAGTTTGGATGTCTGCCATCCATGAGGGAGGACTGGCCTATCCACAATAACTTGCAGCCCCAGTCATTCTGGGTATCTAAAGAGTCACTCAGTGGATTAGAACTTCATGTCTTGAGGTTCTAACTTCAAACAGAGAAATTTTTCATTAAATTTTACATGTGCAGTTTTGAAAAAGGTTAAAGGAGGGCCTATATTGTAAAACAGAAGATTAAGGCATTGCCTGCTATACCAGCAGCCCATATAAACACTGGTTTGAGGCCTGTCTTATCTACCTCCAATCCAGCCCCCTGCCAATATTCCCATAGAAATGTAAGGCCACGCCAAGTGAGGACAGCCTTAGCGACTCTAAAGAAGGTGAGTTTCCCCAATGATCAACGAAGACAAGGCTTCATGCAAAAGCAGGAGGATTTATTCAGATTCCAGCATGGTGGGGCTGAGGCCAGTTCCTCACGCAGAAGGGTTGGCACATCAGCCCCAAGCCACTACACAGCATGCTTTTTATAGGCCAAAATCACTTACACAAAGGTCAAAGCCTAAAACCATAAAGCCATGAAATTAGGGGCTTTCTGATGACCATAGCCTCACAAGAATGCTATTCCTTATCACAATTCCCCTCGAGTTTGCTTTTCTCAGACTTTTGGAATCCTTACTGATAAGTCAGGGTCTTTCTGCCTCTGGGGACTTTCCGTCACCTCACAATTTCTTAATCTCATTTCCTTCTGAGATACCCATCTTCAGCTGCTTTTGTACTTTGTATCCTAAGTTTCGACTAAACCTAATTATTTACCAAAGACATCTATTCAGCTATTCTCAGCAAGCGAGATACAGAAAGGAAAAAAGCAAATTGAACACTTCTATTCTAAATTTTTTCCTTCAGAAACAGCCTAATATGACACAGTTCTTGGCCAGCTAACACCCACATGGGAGAAGTAAGTGGAGTTCAATGTCCAGGTTTCAACCTGGCCAAGCCCCCACCTACAGTGAGTGAACATTTGAAGAGTGAACTAGCAGGTAGAAGATTCTCTCTCTGCACTTACACAAACAAAATAATATTTTCTGTAAAAGAAAAATGGTTCAAAGAGACAATGTGAAAAATACAGTGCCTAGGTTAGTATCTCCTCAAAATGGATAAATTTTACATTTACTCTTCAGAGTTCAAATATAGTGTTTATAAAGGGAAGATTTCTGTGTATATTCTAAAAGCTCATGATGTGTGGCACTGTGCACCAAGCAGCGTTGCTTCTCCTCTAGGGCAGGTACATCATAGGGCATCTCTTCCCTCTCTCCTAATATCAGACACAGCAGGTGTCTTGCTTTGGCCAGGGTGAAGCATGAAGGTACTCGTGGTTTACAAACTCTCGTCCAACTGCCATGCTGCCCAGCCTGGCCCAGAGTGATTAAACAGGGGATGGAACCTCCCTCAGCCCCTGACAAGACACAAGGTCTGTGGTCCTCACCATCAAGATTTCAGGTGTTGCCTGCTGTAGGGGTTGGACCTACGCTATCTCTTTGGTGTTCATCCTGCCCCTCCATCTGGTGAATGGCGATCACTTATGCAAATGCCCACAGCAGCACACTGCATTGTTTTCTTTAAAACAAGCCCGGCTGGAGTCAGCTGGACTTCACCTGCTCAGCTAGCATTCAATGTGGGTACCACTTCATGTCCCAGCTGTTCCACTTCCCATCCAGCTCCCTGATTATGGCCTGGGAAAGCAGCAGAGGATTACTTAAGTCCTTAGGACCCTGCACCCACATAGGAGACCTGAAAGAAGTTCCTGGTGCTTGGTTTGGGATCAGTTCAGCTATGGATTTTGTTGCCATTGGAGATCTTTCTGTCTCTTCTTCAATCTTCCTGCAATTAAAATTAAATAAACATTTAAAACAAGCCTGGCCTCCTGCTGAATGGGCTGTCCTGCAGCTTGGTATTTCCTCATGACCTTAGTTTCCTAATGAGTTCATGTTGTTTGCTCTTGAGTTCATGACTACGGTGTGTGTGTGTGTGTGTGTGTGTGTGTGTGTGTGTGTGTGTGCGCGCGTGTGTGTGTGCGTGTGCCTACTGATGGCCACCCAGAGCAGGGTCCTTCTCCTGTGATTATACACAGTTCCCCATCCATGTCCTTCACGTGTGAGCAGGTGCACCTGTGTGGGAGTTTCCCTAGAGACTGTCCTAAGTGCTGTGGTGGCTGAGTGAGAGATGTGCTCATTCTCATCTTACCAATGGCCACCTTGCTCTCCATGGGACAGCGCCAACAGCACTTCTCACAAGTCCCTGCTTCTTCTGTTATCACCCACTGCTCTCCTCACATAGGACATCTCTCTCCATATATTCTAAGGTCACTTCTGATGTCTCAGGCTCCCCTATAAAGCCCTGCTCCAGCCATTACCCTCACTCCAAGTCTAACAAAAGCCCAATAGGTAGTGTGGCAAGGACTGGAGGAGGGCAGCACAGGTACGCAGGCAGAGCAGACTTCAGCATCATGAGCAGGATGGGTAGGTCTCTGGAACACACAGACCATGGTCCTTGTGACCAAGGCACACTCAGCTCTGGTGACATGTAACCAACAGCCGGGATGTAAAGCCTGAGTGTCCACTTCTTCCTGAGAACCATGAG